GGGGTGGGGGGCTGGCGCCTCCGAGCCGGTGAGACTGGGCGCCTGGAGGGGGATGTTCCTACCATCCCTTGGAGGGTGGGCACCGAGGAGCAGCTTGGCCTGCGTCAGACACGTGGTTCCCAAAGGACCCCCGCCCCTGTGCCAGCCCTAGCCCCTCAACCCCAACCCACTCTGGTGCCGTGGTCCAGGCTGCCCGATACCCTTGTGAGCCAAAATGCCTTCTGAGGCTAGTGGATAGGTCTCCCTGGGAGCACGGATCTTCCGGTTCATTCTCCAGGGTTTCCCAGGAAAAACTCTGCCCCTCCTTTCTCCCCAGCAGATGGGCTGGCAGCCTGGCGCCTAGGGCAGTGTAAGGGGTCTTTTCTCTCCAGGGAACCAAGAATGATATTTGGGCATCTGGGCAGGAAGAAAGAGAAGAGAAAGAAGGCAGTGGGGTTTCTCCCCACACAAAGCCAGCAGTCCCTCAGTGTTCTCAGAAGCTTCAGTTTGAAGGGGGTGAATGATGGGGGAGGGAGGGGTGAACATTAATAATATGTGACATCCTCCCCCAACCTTGTCCACCTCCATCATCCAGTTTCTCCAGCCCTTTCCCCTTCCTACCAATAGCCACCTTCTGAAAGGGGTGGGGGTCCTACCACGTTGGCAGCTGTTTTTGGTGAAGAAGATGTCTCCTCCCCTAAGCCTTCACAGAACTCCAAGCACCTTTTCTTTGCAGCAGTGGAGGGGCTGAGGCTACTAGGGAGCATGAGTCCCCTGCCGCTCAGGTAAACACTTCGGAGGTATCATGGGCTAGATTCCCCCAGATGAGACCAGAGAGCCTAGGAAGACAGTGAAGTAAATAAAGTATCCGAAGAGGGGCTGGCCTGCATGTTAGGAGTTTGCCATTCCCTTTTCCCACTCTAGCGGTGGGCCTCTGGTTAGACAGATTGGAGGCACTCATGTGTCTCCAATCAAGCTGAATAAATCCTTCTCAAATGAATCAGTGACTGAACCAATGAAGGGGAAAAAGGCAGCATCGTGCAGACCTGTATGTCTGCTTACTGTACATCCTACCTTTCGAGGTCAGCACAGATGGCACTGCCACCCAGAGATTGCCCAAATGATTGATTCCTGGAGGAGAATGGTCACAAACCCAGTAATACACATCTTCTGAGGAATATATATATATATATACATTGCTCCACTTCAAGGCCAAAAGGTATCCAGTTCTGTCAACCACAGTCCTAGGAATTTCTCTGCTTGCCTCTTCCTTGATGATTTCCTGATTCTCTGAAAAGGATGGTTCCTGCTAGTTTATGTTGATGATGGAGGCTCTGGGGTCAGCACCATCACCTCCCATACACACTGCCTTGGATCCATCTCACTATATCCTTCCTACATGCACATGGCCACTCAAGTCGTCAAGTTTTCATGCCTTCAAACCGCAGCTTCACAGGGAGAGGCCATGTTCCCAGCCTGTGCTCCCGCATCTTCTCTTCCTTTCTGCTCTTGGTCTGGTGTCTTTCCCTCGAGATGGTCCCAATTCTTGTATCATCATTTCTTTCATCAACTTAGTCCTTCCTACCCACAACTGTTTTAGGTCTATATTATCTGAACAAAGTCTTTGCCTAACTCTTTAAGAGAAATTATTTTTTTCTTTTTCCCTTTTACTGCCCATACCCACGGCCTCCCTTTCCTCATTATTTATTCTTTTCACCCACTGCAAGCTGGCTTCACTACGTGGACCCTTTCTCAGAGAGCTCCAGTGTCCGGTGTCTATTATCCGGAACTTCTCTGAAACAGTTTTTGTTGTTGCTGACCATCAACTATTTCTTAAAATGTCCCTTCTTTTAGCTTCTGTAATATTTGTCTTATTCTACATCTTTAGACATTTACAGTCAATGCTTATGTTTTCCCTCCAGTGACTTTTCTTCCACTGAAGACTGTGAACATTCTTCAGAGCTCAGACTTCAGCTTTACCCATCTCTACATCCGTTCAGGTTTCACCCACTCCAATAGTTCCATCTATTACATTTACCCACAAAACTCTCAGACCTCTGTCCCTGGTTCTGACATTTGCTGTACTCCACCCCACCATTCTTGTTTTCAGGCCAGCTCCATCTGCTTTTGCTGTAGCCACCTTAAGTGCAAAAGGCTGGAGGACATGCTTCCCCTCAAGCTCCTTATTCACCTCCTCTTATTATTCTTTTCTTTGAAATGTTTCATCTGTAGCCCTTCCTTTCCATTTCCAGAGATAAAAAGGCTAATGTAGGCCATCATTACCACCATCACCTACATGCATATATTCATCCAGAAAATTTTGATTGAACACCTACTTTGTGCCTGGCACTGGAGATACAGCTGTAAATGCAACAACAATCACTGCCATTGAGCAGTTTACATTCTAGTGGGGAAGGCAGGTGAAAAACAAGAAAATATATAAAACATGCTTAATAATAAAAATGCTAATAAAAAAATAAAGCAAGGAAGGGGAAGAAGAAGTGTAAGAGTGGGGAATTATGATTTATCTAGACTGATCACAGAAGGCCTCATGGAGTAAAAACCAAAAGGAAGAAAATGACCATTTGGATATCTGAGCATTTCAAGTTGGAGACACAGTGGGAATATATCCTAGTGTATCTGTGGGACAAACAGTGAGGGATCCAGTGTGGCTGGAGAGACGCAGTGACTGCAAGAGACCATGAAAGGCCTTGACCGCTGTAAGGAGTTGGGTTTTTATTCTAATTGAAAAGGGAAGCTATTGCAAGGTTTTAAACAGAAAAGTAAGGCAACTTATTTTCAAATTTTATTTTAAACAGCTTCCTTAAGGTAAAATACATACAATAATCTATATATATTTAAAGTGTACAGTTTGATAAGTTGACATGTTTACACCCATGAAGTCATCAACATAATCAAGATAATAAATATCCATCAACTGAAAAGCTTTCCTTGTATCCTTTTTTATATGTTTTTACCAGAATCACTCTGAGCTGCTACGTTGAGTATAAGCTAAAGAGGGGTAAAAAAGAGGCAAGATGCCACTGTAATTATCCAGAAGAGAGGTGATGGCATCTCGGACCAGGGAGATAAGCAGTGGCTATAGTGAGAAGTAGCTGATTAAAAACTCACTAAACTCGTAACTTCCTGCTGCTTATCCACTCTAATTCACTCTGAAGACAAACGAACAAATATGTTTCTTTCATAGGATAACTCCCTCCCTACAAAAACGTATTTTAGTTACATAGTGCCCTGAGGCTATAGTCCCAATTCCATTAGGCCCTGCTGCTTCGATCCCTACTCTCAAATCTACATCTTGGCCTCCTTATATTCCCGCTCCTTTCATTCCCCTCCACTTTGCCTTTCTTTTCTATTCCCACCACACTTCTCACCCCTACCCGCACCCCTAGTCTCTAAATTTTACCCACACAAATCCCACTTCCTCCTGAAAGTCTTTCAGGGTCTCTACTGGGATCTCTCCTTTCTTGAGTCTCCAATTGCACTTGATGTTAATACTTCATAGTAATCTTACCTCTTTTTTTTTTTGACTCATAGTAATCTTACCCTTGTTTTGTTTTGTCTCGTTTTCTAATCTCTCTTTTGCCCAGGGACATCGATGTACCAGCTCTAGGGCCCCGACGTCCTCCCCAAGTACAAGACTGGGCCTATGCTACTGCAGAAGCTCTCTGCCTCAGCGTGTCTGTGTGCGGTAGTGTCCTAGCCGCCCTCCCCTCCTTCTTGGGCATCTGCTCTGCATTAGTCTGTCCCAGGCCTCCGCAGGCGCCGGTGATTGAATCATCATCATTAACCAGGGCCTGC